GCCTGTTTCGCTGCCCCGGTGCCCAGATCCTGCCGACAACAAGAGAAAGGCATTCAAAATATAGCAGAGATATGCATGAGCAAAACACAACAATTAAACAATTTAAAGTATAACTTAAATGCAGTTCAGGGAAGGGACCAAATAATCTGTCCTACCCAGTCTGCATAAATCAAATCACAAATAACAAAAACCAAAACATTATAAGTAACCAAATATCTTCTGCAGTACAGCTCAACTGTAATAATGGTTAAATGAAATAAATGAATATTCAATAATCACAGTAAATAAATTGAAACCAAAATACAAAGAAATACAAAACCGTTTGAAACAAATTAAAGAAATAAACTAGAAAAGGAAAACAAAGGAAAGTTAAAGCATAATGCTGAGACACACTTCTGCTAGCAGAGCTTGGAAACCAGTTTTAATTTACAATTTGTATTAAACACTGACCATTACTTTATTAATTATTTCTGCTATGCAGGCTCTTTTGTGAATTTATTTGTAATTGCCAGCAATGAAGCAAGCACTTAAGTAGGAATAAAGAAAGAAAGAAAGAAAGAAAGAAGGAAAGAAAGAAAGAAAGAAAGAAAGAAAGAAAGAAAGAAAGAAAGAAAGAAAGAAAGAAAGAAAGAAAGAAAGAAAGAAAGAAAGAAAGAAAGAGAGGTTATGGCGACAAAATGACAGAGAGAACAGATATGAGGTAAGGAATTAAAAGTCAGTAGGCTTATGTAGTTTCTTAATTCACTGTGACTATTTATAATTAACTTATTAATTATACAATATATAATGTATATATTAGACTTTATAATTAGAGTAACAAATGATATATAACAAGATTAGGGTTTAGTTCTTGTCCCATAACTTTTCTATGAACTGTTCTATTTTAAAATCTGTATGTTTCACATATAATGTCATGCATAAAATTAACAAACAGTATCCCATCCATTTTACTGTGTTGACCTGGCAGAACAGGATGATGAGGATTCACCAGAAATCCCATCAACTAGTTCAGCTGGGTGGGTTAGGTCGGCAGTATTGTGGTGCTTTTCCATTACACAGTACCAGCTTGGCTCGGCTCGACTCGCCTTTGTTTGGTTTTCCACTCTGTAAAAGTTGCCCCTGTACCTGCTTTCGGGTACTTTTTTTCGTATCACCTCCGGCGAGGTTCTGAGCGAGCTGAGGCGATACTAAAATGTGATGTGAAAACACTGCAGACTGCTGATTGGTCAGAGCAGGGGCGGACATTCAGTCTTAATATTAAAGTAAATTAATATTAAATGTATATATTCATCACTGACCTCGCATTGATCAAACTTATCCTCAGATTTATTAAATCCTCTTCAAATTGAGTTGTCCGACGCGGCGGTTTAATATTCCACAATCTCACCCCGCCAAGTCAAAAACGTGGAGAACGGAGCAATTCCAGCGACCCAGATGAAGTAGGGGAAATCGGGACATTCCAGTTGTATAATGGTTCCGAGGAGCACCATCTCACAAAACGAGAGCAATTTATTCATCAGGTTTAAATTTTTAAATATTATTTTATAATACAATTATGTAAATCAATTGTGTAAAATGTTAATTTGTAAATTATGTAAATTTCTGTATAAAAAGTCTATTTTTAGTCTTCGATTTATGCAAATGCTGGGGACAGAAAAAGTGAAGTTTCTGTAGAATGATCTAGGAGGAAAATGGCACTTGATGTTTCCTGATCCTAATTAGATTTCTACTTCACTGGAGTATAGATGTTTTTGCAAACATCACTACATTTAAAAAATAAAATTTATACTTTTACTCCAAGAATTTTCCAAAGATGCTTTTGTTTATCTTGTTACTGTTCGACAGTGATGTCTGATTAACCAACTAATGTCATGTGTGTCTGTAGCTTGTCTGGCTATATGGTGACAGAGGAAGGCTGTTGTTATGTTTCTTCAGCTCTGAGTTCAAACCCCTCACACCTGAGAGAGCTAGATCTGAGCTACAATCACCCAGGAGATTCAGGAGTCAAGCTGCTCTCTGACAAACTGAAAAACTGCTCACTGAACAGACTTAAGTATATCACTCTACTCTCTCTCTCTCTCTGTGTGTGTGTGTGTGTGTGTGTGTGTGTTTGTTTGTGTGTGTTTGTTTGTTTGTTTGTTTGTTTGTTTGTGTATGTGTGTTTATGTGTCACTCAGGTGACCCACTGTGTGTGTTTGTGTGTGTGTGTGTTTGTTTGGGTGTGTGTGTGTGTGTGTGTGTGTGTGTGTGTGTGTGTGTGTGTGTGTGTGTGTGTGTGTGTGTGTGTGTGTGTGTGTGTGCACACACACACACACACACACACAGCTAGATCTGAGCTACAATCACCCAGGAGATTCAGGAGTCAAGCTGCTCTCTGACAAACTGAAAAACTGCTCACTGAACAGACTTAAGTATATCACTCTACTCTCTCTCTCTCTCTCTCTCTCTGTGTGTGTGTGTGTGTGTGTGTGTGTTTGTTTGTGTGTGTGTGTTTGTTTGTTTGTTTGTTTGTTTGTGTATGTGTGTTTATGTGTCACTCAGGTGACCCACTGTGTGTGTTTGTGTGTGTGTGTTTGTTTATGTGTGTGTGTGTGTGCACACACACATACACACACACACACACACACACACACACACACACACACACACACAATTGTATATGGCTTACAGAAATTCATCATAGGTGTATTTATTTTTATGCTAACCTAATCATATGTTCTCTTCTAACTAATAAACATAACCCTCACAGAAAACATATTTTGAATTTCATTAAAACTTGGTTTAGCAAGTCAAGTCAAGTCAAGTATATTTATATAGTGCTTTTCACAAGATAGATTGTATCAAGGCAGCTTCACAGTATCAATCAAAATAACATTACAATGTTTGTTTCTTAGTGGAAAAAACATCCACGTTAGGTAGGGCTGATCAATGGTATTAATGATTGGTTAATTAATTTGAATATCCCCAACTGAGCAAGCCAAAGGCAACAGTGGCAAGGAACCGAAAAACTCCATCAAGTGACCTACTGGTGTCCTAAAACTCCATCAGGTGACCCACTGGTGTCCTAAGACTCCATCAGGTGACCCACTGGTGTCCTAAAACTCCATCAGGTGACCTACTGGTGTCCTAAAACTCCATCAGGTGACCCACTGGTGTCCTAAAACTCCATCAGGTGACCCACTGGTGTCCTAAAACTCCATCAGGTGACCCACTGGTGTCCTAAAACTCCATCAGGTGACCCACTGGTGTCCTAAAACTCCATCAGGTGACCCACTGGTGTCCTAAAACTCCATCAGGTGACCCACTGGTGTCCTAAGACTCCATCAGGTGACCCACTGGTGTCCTAAAACTCCATCAGGTGACCTACTGGAGAAAAAAAAAACCTTGGGAGAACCCAGGCTCAGTCAGGGCCAGTTCTCCTCTGGCGTTTATGAACTAGAGGCCGGATTTACAGTAACTGTAAGATAAAAAAATTATATGAATGCCTGGCTGAAGAGATGCGTCTTGGGTTATATGATCATATTTTCTGGATCTAGTAAGAACTCTAGCAGCTGCATTTTGGACTAACTGTAGCTTGTTTATTGAGGATGCAGGACAACCAGCTAATAAAGCATTACAGTAATCTAGTCTCGAGGTCATGAATCCATGAACTAACTTTTCTGCATCAGAGACAGATAGCATATTACGTAGCTTAGCAATGTTTCTAAGGTGGAAAAAGGCTGTTTTTGTAACATGAAATATGTTTATCATAAGACAGGATGCAGTCTAATATAACACCCAGGTACTTTACTATAGAGGATAAAGTAACAGGGTATCCTACTATGTTAAAGTTGTGTTGTGAGAGGTTTTGCGGACGGTTTTTCGAACCGATAAGTAGTGCCACTGTCTTGTCTGGATTTAATAAAAGAAAATTACGCGTCATCCAATCTTTTATATCTTTAACACAATCTTTCAATTTAGATAATTTAGCGTATTCATCCGGCCGTGATGAAATATATATTTGAGTATCATCAGCATAATAATGGAAACTAATTCCATGTTTCCTTATAATATTTCCAAGTAGCATCATATATATTGAGAATAATAGAGGGCCTAACACAAATACCTGCGGCACTCCATAGTTTACTGAAGTTATGATAGATTTTTCTCCATTTAAATAGACAAAATGGTAGCGGTCAGATAAGTATGACCTGAACCAGCTTAATGCTTGTCCTTGAACACCAGTATAATTTCGTAGTCGATCTAAGAGTTTTGTGTGATCTATAGTATCGAACGCAGCACTAAGATCAAGTAAAACTAGTACTGAGATACAGCCTTGGTCAGAAGCTAAAAGTAAATCATTTGTGATTCTAACAAGCGCAGTTTCAGTGCTATGATGTGGCCTGAATCCAGACTGAAACTTTTCATAGATGTCATTTTCTTGCAAGAAAGAGCACAATTGAGCGGACACTTTTTCTAGTATTTTAGACATAAATGGAAGATTTGAGACGGGTCTGTAATTTGCCAGGTTATTTGGATCTAATTGTGGTTTCTTAATAAGAGGTTTTATAATTGCCAGCTTGAACGTTCTTGGAAAATGACCTAAAGATAAAGACGAGTTAATAATATTGAGAAGAGGCTCTTCCACTACAGGTAACACTTCTTTCAATAGTTTAGTGGGTATAGGAATAATATAATTCATCAACTCAGTATTAAAACCTCAAAGCATTCCTCAATATTTGAGCATTTGAATGTTTTTATACTTGAAACATTGTATGGTTTAGATCCCGTCAATATATAGATATTCCACATTTTAATGTTTATGCAAACTTAGAAATGCAAGTGTGCTAGAACCTCACTTAACATGAATATCTATGAATGAAAAAAGCATCAAATATATGTATTTTTGGTCAATGGTGATAGTCATTCTCCTCCTGACAGCTTGAGATTGAAGTAAGAAGATAATAGATGACAGACTCGAGCACATATTCCTCATCTCTGTGATGTGAAGCTCCAGTATTATGTGATGATGATGTTGTGTATATGTGGCATTATGTGTTGAACTGAACTAACAGACGTGATCCACAGATCCAGCTGATCCAGCATCAGAAACTGCTGGATTATTATACAGAGGTACGACACGTTCATTTATACTGACAGCTTTATAACATTACACTATCAGTCAGTCTGTAAATGCTTCATCAAGAACTGTTGATAGATGAAGACCCTTGACTTCAGTCATGTACAGTTTCTCTTCTTCCTCTCATGTTTCCTGCAGTGATTGTGAGTATTGTTGAGATCGCAGTGTTTGCTGCTCCTACTGTGATTCTTCTTCAGATCATCTGTGCAAGAAGAGCTGGTGAGTTTGAGCCGCACACAATCTGAAGATTCACACTCATCTGATCTGAACATCTGCAATCATGAGAAACACATACGAGAGGTCAGGCAATGCTTTTATTTTGCAGGGAGGAAGGACTCGAAGCGCCCGGAGGAAATAGAGATGCCCACAATATTACAATAAAACACGGATGAGTTCAGAATCTGCAGCAATATTTACAATAGCAGAAACTCAGAGGATTGTTCATTGGTTTATTTTCTTCTTCTCAGAAAACTCTGATCACCTTGAAGAAATAGTGACACCATCAAGTTTAGATTAAAATGTTTTTGCTAATAAAAAGCCAGATTTATTTTCATTTATATGGGTTTTATGGATATATTTGCCTGCAGTGCTGAAAGTCATTTTCTTGTGCTTCATATGTAAACTGCTGTAAATATAATATTAAATACAGTAATGGACAGACTCAGACTGTATAATCGCCTCTCTGTTCTGTGTGATGGAGATGATCTGAGGATTATTGTATCTTGTCTGTTCATTCCTGTTTTTAGCATCTTTTTTTTCATTTTGAATGATTGCTACAAATTTTCTTAATAAACCTCTGCAGTTGTGTTTAATATGTCTCCTTTCCTGAGATGTGTGTTCCCCTTCATGAGCTCGTAATGTATGGTAATATAGAATAGTAAGTGTGAGTATTAAAGGGTCAAGTGTTGATGAAATATATGTGTTTTCAGCCGTTTCTTGAAGATGGCTAAAGCCTCGTCAGCTCAGGTTGAGTTGGGCAGGTCATTCCTCCAGCAGGAACAGTCCAGGTGAAGGTCTGTGAAAGTGATTCTGTGTCTCTGTGAGATGATGCTCCACAAGACACCGTTCCCCTGCAGAACACAAGCTTCTGGAGACACATCGGTCTGGAGTAGTGAGTTTAGGTATAGGGGAGAAGAGCCAGTGGTTGTTCTGTAGGAAAACATCAGGGACTTGAATCTGATGCGAGCGGCTGTTGGAAACCAGTGCAAGTTTGTGAGGAGAGGAGTGACGTGCGTCTCTTCGGCTCGATAAACACACTCTTGCTGCAGCTTCTGGATCAGTTGCAGAGGTTTGACAGATGCTGGAAGGAGAGAGCATTACAATAGTCCAGTCTGGAGAGAACAAGAGCTTGGACAAGGAGTTGTGTAGCTCCGACAGGAAGGACCTGATCCTCCTAATGATATAAACTCGCAATTGCGAGTTATAAAGTCAAATTCTAAGGGAAAATTTACTTTTTTTGAAACCTTAGAATATCAATCAATCAATAAAAACTTTTATTACAGACTCAAGGTCCAAATCTTACCCACAACAATACACAAATACATATCCATAAACGCACATGCACACACACATACCTACACATAAAAGAAAGAAAAAATAATAATAATTTAAAAAGAAAATCATTGTTCTACCAGGAGACAATTATACCAGTGTTTCCACAAACGGGATTGGTAGTGTGTAGTTCTTAGCCGTAAGTTAGTTAAGCCCATTATTATTTCATTTTGGGACCCATTAAGCCGGCACATTAGGTTTCTTAAAACAGCATGAAAGGTCCTCACTCTTGCAACCACAAACATCTCACTTGCACTACACCATCTTGGTCTTGTGAGTAACAGTAGTTAATAGCCTATACCACCTGTCAATTTGATTGATTGACAGCCCGCCCCTTCCGGTTCCTCCCCTTCCTGTCCCGCCTCTTGTCCCGCCCCTTCCGGTTCCTCCCCTTCCTGTTACCTTTGACCTAGTTCCGCCCCTTCCTGTTAAACTTTCTGTCAAAATGATGGATGACGACCTTTATCTAGTTCCACCCCTTCCTGTTAAACTTTCTGTCAAAAATGATGGATTGTTTGAAGTTTGTTTGATCTAGTTCCGCCCCCTTCCTGTTAAACTTTCTGTCAAAAATGATGGATTGTTTGAACAAGAAAAAGGGGTGTATAGGATGTGTGACAGATAGTTTGATCGTTTGAACAAGAAAAAGGGTGTATAGGATGTGTGACAGATAGTTTGATCGTTTGAACAAGAAAAAGGGTGTATAGGATGTGTGACAGTTAGTTTAAACGTTTGGAGTTTGTTGTTACAGTTACAAAGCGATGGATTGTTATTATTTAGCGCATCCCCTCGCTATGCCTAAGCTTATCATAGCAGGTGTGTGTGAAACAAGTGTGAAATCTTACATGTTTAGAGAGCAGGGGTTTTCTTCCCACACGGTAGCGCCGGATCTCTCTGAAAACTATCTCCAATTATAATTTTTTTGGACCGTAGGGAGTCGTTTGTGTCTGTGTGTGTGTGTGTGTGTGTGTGTGTGTATGTTGCAGCGGCATGGATCTCCTCCCCTCCCTCCACATTGCTGGGGACCTTGAAAGTTTATCTCACACAGAAGTTGAAAAAGCATGTTGTTCATTTAAAATCTTACTAAATTACTGAAGTTGAAAAGCATTCTGTTCCTTTAAAATAATTTTTTTACAAATTTACTGTAGCAATTATGTTAGATAAAAATAAAATCATCTTACATTTTTACCAGGGTTGAAGTAGCTCCTAGCACATAGATGTCCATATTGACCATTTAAAGTTGAAAAGAACCCCCAGATTATTTCTCTCTTTCTCACACCAGCGTTTGACAGTCAGAGGGGTGTGTTCAGTGATCAGAATGAGACTGTGAATGTTTTGCTAAATTTATTTTCATAGTGTATAAGCATTAAAAGTTTGAAATAGACCTTTTTAAAAATATGATTTTAATTAAATTCAATGAATTCATAAAAAACAAATATGCTATATCGATGGTCTCTGGGGAAACTTGACTATATTTTTTATTTATCAGGGTGCATGTAAAGAACTTTGAAATTTGGCGGCTCTCACAACTTATCACACACATTGTGTGAAATGTTTAATAATTCCTCAAGTAGTATCTGTGAGAAAATCCCCACATATGGCTATAGTGAGAGAGCTACAATGAAGACTTTTAGAATCATTGATGCCTCAGGCCTGGGGAAAACTTGACTATATTTTTTATTTATCAGGGTGTATGTAAAGAACTTTGAAATTTGGCGGCTCTCACAACTTATCACACACATTGTGTGAAATGTTTAATAATTCCTCAAGTAGTATCTGTGAGAAAATCCCCACATATGGCTATAGTGAGAGAGCTACAATGAAGACTTTTAGAATCTGTGATGCCTCAGGCCGAGCCCCATTGATAGCCTGCTTATAAACTCCTTCCGATAACCAGCACATCTTCAGAGAAATACGTTACTTTACAATAATGTTAGCTTCAGGATATAGGGTGACAGAGCAGATGAGCCTCTGTGCATCATGTAATGTTAGTCTGCTAACGCCTTTCCAGAGCCAAAGTTTTGTTCGTACTAAATTTATTTCAAAGCATAATCGTAAAAGTTTAAATATGATCTTTTAAAAATGAAAAGATTGTTTAAATTAAATCTTTATAGTTTTAATACATTCGTATGTTTTAGAAGATTACTGTAATGATTTTGTTTAACGGTGACCTAAAGTATAATTGTTATTAATATAGCCATAATGATTTTTGAACTGTAACAGCATATTCTGCCCCATACACGACCATCACAGAAAACTACATTTTTACATTGTTTTTTACATACTGTTTTGCACTGGTTCCATAAAATCAAATAAAGTATATAACTCAATGTATAATGACAAATGTATTCAAACAATTTAACCTTAGTTTTAGCTAAATTAATATATATATATCAAAATTATATATATAAATATAAAATAACTCACACTCACAATAGATTCACACCCTCACAGAGACGAGAGGAGTGACAGTCCAGATGAGCCTCTGGGGTCACATATGCAATGCTAGTCTGCTTTTCAGAGGTTTATTCATATTAAACTCGTTTAAAAGCATAATCTTAAAAGTTTAAATGAGATCTTTTAAAATTGAAAAAACTGTTTAAATCAAATCTTTAAAGTTTTATTAAAATCGTATCTTCTATTTATCTTCTTAGAAGACTTCTGTATGATATAAATGATTTTCATAAAGCTATTATTTTTTACTAAACATTGTTTGTTCAAAAAATAAAAAATGTTATAAATCAAGAACTGTGCTTTGGCGTCTTAGATCTTATTTCAAATAGTTTTTGTCCATGCGACATGAAACATGTTGTCAAAGTTTGTCACAAAGTTTTTGTTTTAAAAGAAATCCCAGGACTCTACATTGGTCTTATTTACATTAAGTTGTATCATTTAGAAAATCACCACACATCTTCAGAGACGCAATGTGCCTCTGTGCTCCATGACGCAGCATAAGTTTGTCTTGAGCGAATATTTAATTTTACTCGTCTTAATTCAAAGCATGTTCTTACTTTTTCTGCGGTAGCTACGACCTATTGTACGTATAAGATATATCATATTTACTTTTCTTGCATCTCTCAAACTATCCTTATTCATTGTGGAAGCACACAGGGTGAAACCCTTCACTGAGAATATACTATCGGTTATCTACTCAAAATATATGTAGAAGTTTAAAATGTTAGCATTTGTTGATGCGACAGGCCACATGAACAGACTTTGGGGAGAGCTGATGATACTATAGCAGGAAACCTTTGACCTCCTCCATTTTTGTAGGCTTTTTGTTAAATACCCCATAGCTTAGTCCTTAAAAGGTACGCTGTGTTGGAATTTCCCCATCTAGCGGTGAAATTGTATTTTGCATTCAAACGCATAGTGCTCTCTAGCGCTTCGCTTTTTCAAATGCATGTTGCAACTACGGTAACCGCTATGTGCCAAGAAGCTACGACATGTCGTCCAATTGCGCTTCATCGAGTTTAACTATACACGTTCTACCGTTATGTTGCCTATATAATGAATTACACAACCACGGAATGAAAAAGCTTGTAATTTAGACCATAACACTGACTTAACTGTCGACGAGAAAGCAGGACTTCAGTGTCCCTTTCAAAGTCTTTCTCCTTCATTAGCTCTATCCACCTGGGAAAAGCTATCCCGGTATTTACCCTCGTTTTGAATTTGCCGGACACGTTTCACTAGCCATGATAAAGCTTAAAAAATTAATTTAACCGTGCAGTCTTTCAAATTTGCCGGGGGAGTGACAAGCGCCTCTCACTGACCTTCTTGTGTCCGTTTCAGATGGTTTCAGTCAGCCGGCTCTAAACGAAAACGTGTTGAGGTAGCCTAGTGCTTTTTGTCCCTCTCCGCTATTATAGTTTTTCAAGATGGCGGAACGACATGGAGGCCTCCATGGACTTAT